TGCTCTGATAGGTCAGGTTTGAACTGGTCTGGTGGACTTGTGCCACTTGTTGAACATCCCCACACTCTTTGCGGTTCTCTCGTGTCTTGCATGAAAAAAACACAGCAGCCGCAGCGCTGGGAAACATATGTGCAGAGCCCACATGCCTGCCATGTCTTCCTCTCTGCTTTTTTTTAATCTTATTAACTTTTATCATCCTTTTTATTAGTTTGGAGCAGTTTTTAATGCAGCTCCACACCCATAAAACAAAAAACTGCTTTTGTGGGCATTTGAGAAAGTAGCTCTCATACTTGAGAGATTTTTGACAGTGAACAGATCTTGAGTAAACTACTAGTAGTTTGTTGTTCAGTATCGTCTTCACACCACATTGTGCAGTAGTGTAATTTATGTCCTCATAACTCTACAACAACATGACAACTCTTGCAAACACAGTGTCTGTTTACTGGTGTACTTCACTGACTCTTAAATTCCTCAGGGCAAAGTCGCTGTTTTGTCTCTGTGGCAGGATTTGCTCTTTAATTCAAAGTGATCGTATGAAACACTCAACTCTCAACAAAGTCTGAACAGTGGCTGTAAAAACCATAAAAACCTGTCGAACCTGCCGACATTATCGACTCCTCTGCCATCTATCGTTTAGCTTTTCATAAAAATATACACATACACTCTACTTCTATAATTTCTCCTGCTTCCTCTTTCGTGATGCGTCTACATAATCATGCTGCCATATGCAAACACATTTCTGTGGTCACTGGTTCATGTATGAAAATGTAGATGTAAATGTAGACAGAAGCTTCTGTGACCACAAGAAGCAATTGGCATAATAGCAAATGTGAAAAAGAGAGAAGAGTCATAAAGTCAGTGACCTGATTGGAAGAAATTAAGTTTACTTCTGTTAGCCACACTAAGACACTGGTTAAATACTATTTTTCCCTTCCTGATACAGATTCCAACACCAGGACTTTTCCATATTCGAGTACAAAGGTATTTATGATACTTATATTGGTATCAGAGCATCTTTAGTATCAGAGCATATGAAACCTCCAGGAGTTTTTAACTGTACTGAAATGTGTGGGTTTTATTTCTTATGAGTAAGTCTCACTACTACTACTACTAATACTCATAGTAATACTACGACTACTACTCTTCCAATTACCCAATTTTTTAAACCCCCTTTGCTTTAAGTCAGCCTGTTTGTATTGATTTAGCTTCATTGTAAATATAGAATATTTGTTTCGTGCAAAGAAGGTTTTTAAGACCACAAAAGAATATAGAGTACAGCACTTTTAATCTTTCCTGGCTATTTCTCTCAGCAGGAATTTTTCTATGAGCATTACTGTAAATCTAGTGGGAAAGTGTCCATTGTTCAGGCCTTTCCTCCAGCAGATTACTATCTGATGATGTTCACACTGTTAAAACAAATCTGAGATGATTCCTGTTGTTTCCCTTTGTCATAACTTATCTTCCCAGTGTTGTCCTAACCCCTGTGCTCCAAACGCCCATTACACACACACACACACACACACACACACGTACAGTGCACACTCACATCTCCGTGCCGCCATGGTGGGTAAGTGGCCAACATCTAAAAGGTCACTGGTTGAGCCCCTCGGACTGTTAATGAGTTGCTGTGATGACACTGTGTCGTCTTGTAAATTCATTCATTCAAACGTTCCAAACAATATTTTTTAGTGTGGTTAATTTCCTTTGGATGATTTTCCATATTTGGTCATTTAAGAAAAACGGTGTTCTAACTCACTGTTACTAGCATCACAGAACTGAGACGCCTGAAGATGTGGGTCCTCAGACACCCCTGAGACACCTGCGCTGTGGTTTTTCTTCATGTCACACCATGTTCTGAACGAGCTTCAGAAGACACCAGAGAACAGCAGTTTCCAACCTGCGGCTCGGGACTCCTGTTAGATACAGCTGAGGTGTCACAAGATGGTTATCACAACAAGCAGCAGAAAGAACATGTTTCTGGTGCACACAATTATGTTCATTTCCTCAGTCTTTAACCTTTTCTAATTGTTTTAATCTCTGCAGTGTGCAAGTTACTGAAGTTTTGATGTGACTTGTTTATAAGTTCTTTTTTGTGAATAAATCAACTGCAATAATTGTAACTTATTTACTGAACTGAACCATAGAAAAAGAACTGGAGGTGTGAAATCTCAGTTCCCAGTAAATCTGTGAAGGAACACACAGACACGCACACACAGACACCCCTGATGTGAGTACAGTAAATCCCCACAGAGTCGTCAGTGCGTGCACTCTTCACAATAGTGTTTGGCCCTGTCCGCGAGGCCGGACCCCCGAGCCTAAGCGCTTTTATGTGAAAAGGTTTTTGGTGTGTCGTAAGCCTGAACGCTGACCAGCCTCTTCTGCAGCTTTGCTGAGCCATGGGGCTCCTGGCAGCCCTGGGAGTGCTGACTCCAGCCCTGGGAACATGTTTACTGCTGCCCCGCACCCCACCCTGTGGCATCAGGAGAGGGTCTGCTGTACAGGGGGGTGATGTTGGTCGGGGGGTGTCCACACAATGAACCTGCTGAATACTGTGCTATCAGCTGTTGCTGCTGAGGCCTTGCAGTCGGTTCCTGAACTGGCTGGGTACAGACTCTTGATCAGAGCGCACAGGGGCAGACTTGCCTTTTCCTTGGCTTCCTCTTGAACTCGTTATTACAAAATTACTAACTTGTCTGTCTGGTTTTTGTTTTTATGGAGAATTCCATCATTGGACTTGTTGCAGTTAGGATGAACTTAAACTAGTGCATTTAAATCAAAGCTGTCATGTTGTTTTCTTGATGTAAATTGAGTGTTTGTGGAATCTTTGCTTGTGAAACATGTTATTTTGAAATCTCACACAGGAACGTGATGCACAGACGTACATGTTTGCACACACTGGCCAATATGCGGATGCTTTTGTTGTGTGGTTTCTGTCAGTCCACAGTGGAAACAACACTTGACTCACATGCACTTTTTCATGAAAATATATCTTCTATATCTGTTGTTTACCAGGAATTTCAAAGACAAGTGAACCATTTCTGGAACAAATAAAACCTTCCCCAGCAGATATGCATGAAGGAAATACGGTGGACATTATGAAGTGATATAAAATTAGGAGCATGTTGTATGTTAGCAAATCCCATCTGATATAATTCTGAGTAATTATTGATTCTAACCACAGCGGTGTGATAAACCTTTTTATGCAGTTTCAGTGAACGTGTTATTGTCAGGCTGGGACAAACAAAGCCATAAGAGCTGCCTTCCTTATCTCTGCTTCCTCTTGGCTTTTAAAGCACTCCCTCCAGCCCCGGCTGATTGGTGGGGGAATGGCATTATCTGTGGTCTGATAGGCTGCTGGTGCAAAACCACTAACTGAAGGGCTGTTGTTGTTGCAGCAGGTCCTGCAGCTATCCATCTCGAGCAGTGTGCTGATGCCGATCTGTGCACGGCAGACCGCCACCTTCTCCTGCAGCTCACTGAGGAGAGGAGCTCAGTTTAGGGGGGGTGGCTTGCTGGTGCATACAGGAGCTGACTTCAGGTTGTTGTTGTTTTTACCACTGAACACACAAACACAACAGATATGGAGAGATTTGGGAGTATTGCAGAAAAGTATTTCCAGCACCCCTGCATGTTTTCTCCCCATCACCATGATTGATTTCATTATTGATTCGAGTGATTGGATCTCAGAGTAAAGCAGCAATCACCTCCAGCTGATAGCTGCCATCATATTTGCACACAGAGAGCCGTGCACGACAGTGAACTGGGATCATGATCAATGGCAGCGGGGGGGACAAAAGAAGGAGAGAGAAGTGATGATGTTTTCTTAGAGGGGGTGATTGTTCTCTCTGCTCACGTTTTGGACCCCCCTCTCTCCTCAAGCTCGTGCCCCGCCCCCACGTGCACCCCCTGCGCCGCCATTGGCCGCTCGGAGGCTGTTTTCGCCATCCCATTGGCTGCGGCCTGCGTCAATCACACGAGCCTCGACTTATTTACCGAATGTATGCGCGAGGGAGGATGGTATTCTGCTGTAGGGCTGCAACAGCTGACTACTGAGCACTTTAGCCAGTGCCTGAAGGAACAAAGAGAGGAGGAAGGAGACATCCAGGGACGGTTTTTACAAAGAAATCTCACCTTTAACGGAAAGGGCACGAGATGAGGCACGCAGTGGCACCAGCAGAAAACGTGGAAAATAATTGTTTTGCGGTGACAGGCTTGTTAAAGATATGTTCCCATTGTGAACGGCTCAGCAAGAAGGTAAGAGAAAAGAAAGGAGTCCGAGGAAGAGAAGCAGAATAACCGTATTTCTATTCAAATGCGTCATTTTCAGCTCCACTGTGTTTCTGGCTTTTTGAAAATGTGTCAGTCCTTTGATGTTTTCACAGGACGTGTTTTTTTTGTCGCCTTTGAAACAAACTGGCTGCAGTGCAGTCTTTTGTCCAGGCTTGTTTACGACGCACGCAGAGTTTGTGCTGAAAGAGCATGAAATCCTTTCTGCTTTTTAATCAGTTCACTGGGTATGCTTTTAAAAACGCATTTCACCAAGTGTCGCATGCAAATGGATGATTTCAAGCCAGTGTCACGTCCGAAAAACAAGCACGTCCCGGTCATTCATTCATCCGATTCATCGTGCGCTGTGCTGCGCTGCGGGACAGTGTCCGCTAGAAGACATGTCTCGACAAGCAGCGGAAAGTTACAGGACATGATCGAGGCTGCGTTAAACGCTCCTGTCCTGCGTTAATTCTCCATGAGGAGAAACTGTCACTTCGCGTGTTTGGATCTTTCAACAATAATGAATCATCACAGTTTAATTCCCCTTTAATGTGTTGACTGGTGCGTTCACTGCGCGTAGGACGCGAGGACAATGTTCCACGATTCAACTCCAAGCAGATATAAATTCGTCAGGTGTCCGAAAAAAAAGAAGTAGAAATGATATGTTCACAGAAGCCGTTCCTCTGCTTTTTATTTAAAGTGCATTTTTTTCTTCTTTACTTGTCTTGCAGGACTTGGGAGTAAGGATCCCAAGACCCTTAGGAAACGGACCAAGCAGATTTATCCCTGAAAAAGAGGTACGCTCGTCCTGCTAAACATTTACAGCTCATTAACCGAAGATTATTATTATTTAGTTATTTGATATATTTATATTTCTTTTGTTAGATTCTCCAAGTCAGTAAAGTGGATACCAGAACACAGTTGATATTCGAGAATGCATTCGCAGCCCTCGGTCGCCTGGAAAATATTTCTCTGGTGATGGGCTTCCACCCACAGTACCTGGAGAGTTTCCTCCGGACGCAGCACTACCTGCTGCAGATGGACGGACCCCTATCTTTGCACTACCGACACTACATCGGCATCATGGTACGTCCACAGCCCTCCTCTACGTCCACAGCCCTCCTCTGTGGATTCTCATGAGCAACAAGCCTGCTTTTTTTATGCCAAGTACTTACACGCCTCATCGTCAACTCTTTTTTTCTTTAATCCTGCAGGCGGCAGCTAGACACCAGTGTTCCTATTTGGTCAACCTGCATGTGAGTGACTTCCTCCAGGTCGGGGGGGATGTGAAGTGGCTGAATGGCCTGGACGAGGCGCCGCAGAAGCTGCAGCAGCTCGGGGAGCTCAACAAAATCCTGGCCCACCGACCCTGGCTTCTCACAAAGGAACACATCGAGGTGAGAGAACGGGCATGTTCTCGAGAGAGGATGTGGATGTGAAAAATCATATGTAACAGGCTGAGATCATAGGCGGCTAGTGTATAGCTGCAGCTCATATGAGTGCAGCAGTAGATGTGTAGTGACGGAGTGGGGAATGGATGGATCTGAGAGGAATAAGGGGTGAGGCAGGAAAATGAAGAGACAATAAATTGCATTTGAAGGGTGAAAACATATTTTTCCACTTCTGAAAAGGTCGGCGATATTGAAGTCACCGTTTGGCTCCGGTTAGCATTGCTCACAAGTTTTTCCTTTTCTTTTTCTCAGCGCCTTCTGAAGGCTGAGGAACACAGCTGGTCCCTTGCAGAGCTCATCCACGCCGTGGTCCTCCTCACACACTACCACTCCCTCGCCTCGTTTACATTCGGCTGTGGCATCATGCCCGAGATTCACTGCGACGGTGGACACACTTTCAGGCCTCCTTCCCTCAGCCAGTATTGCGTGTGTGACATTGCCAATGGCAACGGCCATGCTTATCACCATGAAGATCTGCTTGGAAACCAGGTGAGTGGGGAAGGGATTTTGTGTGTGCGCGCTGTGAGCTAGAGAGATAAAAGTGAGAGCATGTGAAGGTTTTCTTACTCGTGTGCAAGTTATAACTGCAGCCCGGATTACACTTCCTGTGTGAGAAGTTATTGACGTTTTCTGACCTGTCGATGTTGATGTTCATTTCTGCAGGAGGTGTGTGGCGAGGTCGAGGTGCTGATGGAGCGCATGAAGCAGCTGCAGGAGTGCCGCGACGAAGAGGAAGCCAGCCAGGAGGAGATGGCAACCCGCTTCGAAAGGGAGAAGACAGAGAGTATGCTGGTGGTCACAGCGGAGGACGAGGAGTCTGTCCCCTCCAGGGAAATCTCTCGACACTTTGAGGACCCCAGCTATGGCTACAAGGACTTCTCTAGGAAGGGGGAGCACGTGCCCACGTTCAGAGTGCAGGTATAGATCAATACCAGTGTGACAATACTAGCACTAAATACTAAAGTAGTTCTGTTCTAATCATCCTATGTCTCCTCTCATCAGGATTACAGCTGGGAGGATCATGGCTTCTCTCTGGTCAACCGACTGTATCCTGATGTGGGTCAGATGCTGGACGAGAAGTTCCAGATGGCCTACAACCTGACCTACAACACCATGGCAACGCACAAGGACGTGGACACCAGTATGCTGCGTAGGGCCATCTGGAACTACATCCACTGCATGTTTGGCATCAGGTCAGTCGCTAAATATGTGACTTAACTCATATTTGGAAGTTTTTATATTCCATTTGCTCTGTTGTGACTGTTTTTTTTAAGTATTGTTTCCTGCGGTCCTCAGGTATGATGACTATGATTATGGAGAAATAAACCAGCTTCTGGACCGTAGCTTTAAGATCTATATCAAGACCATGGTGTGTAGTCCTGAGAAGACCACCAAACGAATGTATGAGAGTTTCTGGAGGCAGTTTCAGCACTCCGAGAAGGTGAGATAAAGTCTTCACTCCTCCATCCTGGTCTTTAATTTGCAGCCATTTTAAAATGATAAACTATAGCTCAGTATTTAAAGTCTGTCTCTTCTCTTTTTTTGTCTCCTGTAGGTCCATGTTAATTTGCTTCTTATGGAAGCACGAATGCAAGCAGAACTGTTATACGCTCTGAGAGCGATCACCCGCTACATGACATGAAGTGCTTATGGCAATTTTATCGTTGTCTTTTTACTGTCGTTGTTGTTGCTCATTATGGGACACGCCAAGAAAAAGGAAAATCAAAGCGAGGGAGGGGGTTTAAAAATCTGAAAGAGAGTCCTGGCTTGTTACGGTGCTTGTTGGACGGATGGATGAGAACCAGAAGAGGATCAGAACAAATGGAAAGCAAGAAAAAAAACTGCTGAAGAGAAGTCATCTCAAACTACAAGTGGATTCACAAACACGTTTGTGTTGCCTGCAGTGCCAAAAGCGACCAAGAGAGGTCAGCCTGGGGCAAACTCCTGCTCAGCTGGGGAGTTTGTGCCGGGCCGGAGCACTGACACCGGAGGCATCCAGGATGACAACTTTTCAGTATTCCAGCATGATGCAACACATTGGTTGCCAATCTCTTCTGTCTCCTGTAGAAAATCCCCAGAATGCCGTGCAGCCACAGAGTCTGCACTTTGAACCTGTCGTCACTATAATGTTTGTTTAGTTTCTGGACGTATCTTTTTGTATTAGGAGATGTGGATGTTGTCCATGTGGTTGCTGTTAGTGGAGATGGAAGCATTAACTTTGGGCGGTGTTTCGTTTTACGTGTGCCTGAGCTATCCAGCACAGTGTGCATACGTGCTGATGCTGCTGCTCCCATGTTGTATTCAGCGGGGTCATATTGATCCCCAAATAACCCAACCCCCCCACCACCACATTATACCCCCTATCCATTCGAGATCCACTGCATTACCCCCTTCCTCCTCTTGTCCTCCACCCCCCCTCCCATCCCAAAATCTCAAATGTCAATTTAAGCTAATCCAAGGATTGTGTGAAACCTGGAGAAGTGTGGAGAGAAACTCAAAGAACACTGAGCCCTTTTTGAGTTTAACTGTACACGTGTGGATGAGTTTCTGTGTTCATGATGTGTGTGTGTGTGCATGTGCGTGTGTGTTTGTTTCACACACAACGGAGAAAAAAAAAAGTACGTCTTTGAATTTCATGTGTCAAAAAAAAAGCGAGGCATCTTGAAGGAAAGACTTCTTGCTTCTGCTGTAGCTCTGTTTTTGTGAGATAACTGTTTTGTCATTTGTTGATGATGATGTTTATGTTTCTGGTAAGGGGAAAAGAAAAAAAAAATCTTAAAGAGAAAGTTAGAAACCAGGTTTTCCAGGAGGGATTTGCTTCCGGTTGCCCTAACCACACCTTATCTGTCTTCCGCTTATCCCAGCTGCCTGGTCACCCTAACACTTTTGAAGCTTTGGATTGTGAATTTTACCAGTAAATAAATACCTCTTCTGTTTTTTTCTCTATAAAAAAAACATATGAGAAGTGCTCTTTGTTGAGCAGAGACTCTTTCCGGGCCGCCGCGTTCTCTTTGCTCGGGGAGCCGGCTCGCCCACACAGGGCCGGCTGCGGTCGATCAGCTGTCGAACGCAGGCGGTTGTAGCTGTGCTTATTTCCCTGCTGGGGAAGTCTAACAAGTGCAAAAGCAGCTTTTTTTTTATTTTGAACAGAGGTGTAAAACCTCTACTGTTTTGTTTTTGTTTACTAAAACCAGTAAAGAACTGCATTCTCCTGAGGTTGTGTTGAGAGAATCAGACAGATGAATGAATGAGTGATATCTCGATGAGGAGGGTGAAGATGAAAAAAAAAAAAAAAGGAATGGTACATTTGGAAGTGGTTTGAGAGGAAGTGGAGGTTTTTCAGACTTCTGACTGATGTCAGTTACTGACACTTTTATATGAAACTATATGAAAAAGATGGATAAAAAAAATAAAACTATGATATCGAATTGTTGTGTATCATTCGTAGTTTTCTCCTAAATAATTTCATTGCTTTATCAAAGAGATTGTTTTTAGATGTGGAGAGGCCTACACGATTCAGGAATCAAAGTGTCACATAGCACAATCACTGTCACCATCGGCTCACTTCCACCACTCAGTTGCACAAGTACAGTACTTTATGTAACTTGTGGTAATTACGAAGCATATTTCAGTGCTTTTATGCAAAAGATGACTAACTGATAGATGCGAGTGTCGGTCTCACATCCTTTATTTCAACAAAGCTAACGTCATTACAAGCAGGCTGACCTCAGGGGGATGTTTCAGTTGGTCATCAGGGCAGTCCAGGGACTTTTCATGTGAATTTCATTTCACTGCATAAACTCGAGTGGTCAAAAGCTTCTTCTTTTTTTTGCTCTTGACCAACATTCAGATGGAGCTGAGGGGGAATTCTTTACCTCGCTTTCCTGTCGCCCCTCACTGGGAAAAAATCCTTGTGAGTCTGTTAATCTGTCGGTAACTTCAGGGTGTCGCCCATCGAGGCCACAAAGGCCTGTATGTCAAAACAGAATCACCAGCACAAACTCTATAATCCCCGCTGACCAAACTGCCTTTTCATATCAGGTGGCTTTCCCCGACGACGGCAATGATTATATACGGCATAGAAGCATTTCTAGAGCAACCTTGATATCAGCCAACTTTCAACTGTTCATATCAACCTGAGAAATTCTGTGTAGAGAACAATGTTTGTAATTAGCTTTGGCTAATGAGCTGTTTTAGTGGTTTTTGAAACATCGACTTGTCTTGTGGTTGTTTTAAGGTCACTGTTGTGTGAGATCTGGCGAAAACGGAGGTTTTGTCATTTGCATTAAGTGCCGTTTAAGATTTGTTTTGTTGTAATAACAATGTGATTTAAAAATCTGTACTTTAGGCTACTTGGTGTAACTTGTGAGCACTGCCTGGCCCCATATCTGTGTAACAATAAAGGCTTTGAGAAGCGAAAGGTTTTTTCCCACTTTGTTCAGCTTTATTATCAACAAGTTCCACTGTCACACAACACAAGCAATAAAAACAATACATGACTATTTAAAGAGGTGAATTCCAGGTCAGTCATCAGTTTACGAGACTAAATCCTCATAGAACTATCAACAACAACAACGTCACAGTGATCTGACAAAACAAATCCAAACTGTGAAGTGTGCAAAGACCTGGAACATGTGAGGATATGCAGTTTGTTATGGGAGATAAAGTGCATAAAAGGTTGAAAAGGTTAATATCAATAACTAATGTCAACAACGTCAAAACAAAGAAAATGGTAGAAAGTGCCAGCGTGCTCAACTGCAGATTCTGAGGAATATGTCTGGTGCACATCGATTGAATAAGATTATTAAGATTATTTACATGACAATGTTTGCCCTGATAAAATTACATTTAAAAAGATGTTGGTATTTAAGACAAGGGAGCAGTGAAAATAAATAAACATCATATACAAACGGAGGTGCAAGTATTTGTCAATAAACAAGACATTTTCACGCTTTCACACATCATGAAAAATGACGAGAGGATTTTAATATTAATAAAATGAAGGAAATACTTTCCCTCTATGGCAACATGACTCTAAACTCCTCATCCCAGCGTGTCAGTCGTTCTGCTGCGGCAGCTGGAGTGTCTCTATCAGTTTCTGAGCTACAGGCAGGAACTCCAACTCCCAGCATGCCTTGTGATAATCCCTCATATCTTCATTTTCTATCCACTTCAGAGCCTCCTCTTCATCTAAGGAAGGAATGAGAAATAATGGACATCATGTTCATTTTTCATGTTGCAGTGTCGTGTTTATTGTTCAAACTGTTTCCATTGAGGTATAATGTTCAGAATAGTGTGTTCCTCCCTTCCCCCTGAGGCCCAGTGATGTGAGTCAGAGCAGCTTCTCTCCAGCATGTTTTCCTCCATTGTTGTGTGAGTGTTAATAATAATAACGACACCAACCTAAGTATGTAGTGAGGATCTTCAGCAGGGACTCGCTCTCCTGGGCATCAAGCAGTGGCTCTGAACCGCCACCGATCAGGTTCCACAACGCCTGACAAACCTGCCCTGCCAGCTGCCAGTCACCTGGTCCAAAGTCTCTGAGACAGTCCAGCAGCCTGGCCACACACACACACACACACACACACACACACACACACATGGAAGACATCATATGACTCGACGGAGCAGAATTCACATGACCAGCAGGTTTGTGGGAATTAGCTTCACTTCATTGGGCCTAGATCTGAAAGAAAACTTTGTGTGTGTGTGTGAGAAGGGGGAAATAAGAGCTTGATTGTTCAAAGCTCACTTTTGAAGTGATAATCTCACACTACAAACAACATCATTTCACAGAGTTACCCTGTTGGAAATGTACAAACGAATGAATGTTAGAAGACGTTAACTTTGTAAAACTACTGTGAACAAATAAGATCAAGGCTGAGCAGATTAGTAGCAACTTGTCCGTGCCAGTGAAGTTGTTGTGCTCATGTTTGTTGAAATGAAGACCATATTTCCCAAAAACCCTGTTTACTCTGCTGCTGCACACAGGATGATACAAAAGCCCAGAAACCAGAAAGCTGTTGCTCACTTTGCAATTTTGAATATTCAAATAAAAATGAGGTATTTTTTGTGTCCATCTGCAGCTGCAGTTGTGTATATGTACACATCTTACATTCATAGCAACATCTCAGAGTGTGTTGGTGCTTACTTGGCAGCAGCCCCCTCAAGTGAGAGACGGACCCTGTTGGGAGGGTCCAGAGCCAGGTTGGTGAGGACTCCACAGGCTGAAAAACACATCTCACTGCTTTTAGAGTCCAGCAGCGTCACAGCAAACTGGTGCACTGAAAGACGAGACAATGGAGGAAAAACATGAAGGGACTGACCGGCGGAGGACAAAGCAGGACAAAGGTAACAGAGCTGCGATCACCGGCATCAGCAGGAGTGTTTATACTGAGTGTGACTGGCCTTGGAGATAAGTGCAGCCCAAACATGACACAACTGTATGTAGAGGTGTGTACTATCCTGAGTTCTGTGCTATTAAGATACAATCGATTTATCTTTGGTGCAACTTTGTCTGTAAAACTAGAACAATGTGGCTGAAAGATACATTGTGTAATTGTAGAACCATGTTTGAGGTTTGTTTTGTGTGTGTCTGTTTAAGTTTGTGTTCACAATATACCTTTGTTTTGCGTAATGAAGTCCCGCACATCCTTGGACTGTGACATGTTCCCATATACACGGGTGGCCTCGAGCATGGCGTCCATACTGGAGCTGAGCACCAGCTTCAACATCACTGAAGGGAACATAAGGGATCGAGCAGAGAGAAGAGAGGAATCTGGGATCACATAGCAGCAAACTGTCAGTGTTTTCATTTTTCAAGTGTGCCGATCTTTCTGTCTTACGCTTTGTGATGGCGACTTGACTGCGTCTGATTACAGAGCTTTGCTCCTGGTAGAACGACAGGTTGTTGATGGTGGCGGCGACGTTCACCAACAGCTCCTCGCTCTCCTGCACGGACCTCAACTCTGTACACACACACAGAAGGAAAAAGGCGAAGGTTAACCCTTGTGTGACATCATTTCTTACAAAGACCTTTCGAGGTGTTTGTCTTTCCCCCTGGAAATCCTCCTGTATGAAATGCAGCCAACAGAGGGAGCTTCCACACTGCATGACCTCGAGGAGCAGGCCTTTATGCTCCTGAGACAAACTGCTCACTGTTCAATTATATGAAGTCTCTATATCACAAAATATAAATTTTTTAGATTGACTTGTAAAAACATACATATGTCCATACAGGCTCTTTCCCTGATATTGACCAACCAGATGAATCCAGGTGAAAGCTTCATTTTATGTTGAGAAGATAAAGTAAATGTACATAATCCTTAAACAAATGCAATGTATTGTTTAAAGTGGGATGCACTCAATGTGTAATGCAGTTATTAGTATAAATACATGCTCCCTGGGATTTCAGCCAGCTTGCATGTGACAGCTCTGCCACACCAACAGTGACAGTGACATTCTCATAAAAGCAGCTTGTGTCTAGTTAATTTAGGTCCTGATGTTGTCGTTTTGATCACGAGCTGCATACAAAGGTCAACGTGTCCCAATCCAAGCAGCCACTCGGAAACCAAGTCTGCTCCTCATAAAGCAACAGATGTCACGCTCGCTCATAAATCGTGGATATTGCGGTTGCACTGTCAACCCGGCGCCTGCGTCATAAAGAATTTTGTTTCTGGGTCGGACTGGAAATGGCACTTTGTTGTCTCTAATGTAAAGCAGCTCAGCCTGTCAGGAACTTGATCAAAACAGTTCATCGATCAAACCTGCTCTTTCATCCTCTTCTGAGGTTTCTGTTTTCCTGTCCCCAGCTGTCACACCAACCACCATCTTCAAACATTACAGTTACTTCCCATCCTACTTGCTGGCTCACATATCCCTTCATACCCTTTTTTCTACACTTCAGTCTGACCCCTGTTTTGTTTGTTTGATATTTGTCTCCCAGCTGCCACGAAGCGTGTGTAGGAGGCAGCAGCAGCAGCACAGAAATTGAGAAGTTTCATATCCACCTGCGCATCAGCTCAACCTGTCCTGAAACCATCAAACCACATGGGAGAATTTCACACACACACAAACCAAGTCGTCTGTGAGATGAGACAGAACATCCTGCTCGTGTGCTTCGCTCTGTCAGACTCAGAAAAACAAAACAGGTAAACCAAAAAGAGGATGTGCTACGTGTTGCAGAGACGGCACTGAGAGGAAAGCGAGCGGTGGAATGAAGAGACAAAATGAGGAGATTGTTTTTGACAAATGTCGTGTCTTGTTCCCAGCACAGGGGAAGTGGTTGAGCACCCAGCAGATATTTCCTGTACATACAATGCACCAAACAGCTATTTTTAGAGACTTATCAGAGCTCCACATTGTCACACATTGTTCCTTCCGTGTGACAGAGATACAATACTGACAAAAGGGACAAATTCAAAAGTGTTATGGCTGTAACTCTGCTACTGATGGCACTTATGGACTCGGATGTTTCTCAGTAGAGCGCATACCTCAGCCCAACAGTCCCCTTATGAAACCACTTTTAAATTCACTAGATCCAGCTTTTCATTGGGATTTGAACCAAATATTAGTCCCCTCAACATGTCTGATTGTTTTCTTCAAGATCCATTAATTAATCTCTGAGACGTCAATGAAAAATGTTGAATAAAAGTAAAAACAACAGATCTTCCCCCTGATCCAGATCTGCAACAACATGTAATGGCTTTTCCCTTCATGCTCCACAACTCCACAAAATTTCACGGGAATCGATTAAGTCGTTTGTGCGTCATCCGACTGACAAACAAACAAACATAACCTCCTTGGTAGAAGCATAAAAACTGAATGATGTTGATGAGATCCCCCTGCTCTCTGCTCACCAAGTGTCTCCATCAGAAGCTGAATGCAGGCTGCGTCGTTCGCCAGGGCCGGACCCACAGCCGGGTGGATGCACATGTTGGCCAGCACCCTGACCAGCTTCACCAGCACGTCGTCACGCTCCTGCAGGCTCACGGGAGGAGCAGGAGGTTCACCTGCCTGTGAGGGTGTGTGCGGTGATGCGTCTCTTCGCTGGTAGATGTCATACAGCTGCAGGACTGTATCCATGCAGCCTTTGCACTGGAAGAGCTGCAGCCGAGCCTCCTCGCTTTTGGCCGTGAGGTTCCCCAAGGTGAAAAGAATGCGCACGACCAGGTCCTGTGGGGGGATCAGGGGTTAATTTGCATCCGTCAAATATTTTTTCAAGGGTCTGAATGAAAGCAAATCAAACAACGAGTGAATTGGTTTTGCAGATTTAGTTTAAAGGCCAGACTGTCTTGGCCTGCGTCAACGTTTCCTCTTACAGCATTTCAATTGAGTCAGTGCAAGATAGTGTATGACGTGCAAGGAGTTTTTCCTGTGTTTCAATCTATCTGCTTGATACATTCAATAACTGTCTGTGAGATTCTCTGCCAGTTATTGTTTTATGTTCTTGAAGTTTTTGAATGCAACATGGAAAACATAGTGAAAATTACACAAGTTGACGTCCTAAAATATCTTGTTTTGTCTAAAATCCAATCTATGAAGAAGTGTCACTTTTGAGAAGCTGGAATCTGGAAATATTTGACATTTTAATCAGAATAACTACGGATTCATTTTCTTTTGATCAACTTGTTCCCTACTAAAAGAAAATGAAAAGTAGTCAATACTAAAACCGTAATATCCTGACTCTACTGAGTAAATAAGATGAAGGGCAGGTGAGTCAGGACTGCACACAACTCTCCCATAAATGTACAGTTATGCTGGTATAACGACAGGACATGCCGTCCCAGTACTTGCTGCTCATCACATGTCGTTACTGTGTATACACAAAGGTGTGGTGGATATGTGTGTATTCTTATTAACTCAATACTCTACTCAAGCTCACCTCCTTTGTTTTTCTCCTTTTTCCTCCCTCCCTCCTCCCTCCCTCCTTTTTCCTTGACTTACTCAGCCCCTACTCGGATGATTAAATGTCAAAACACACCCACCTACACACACACACACACACACA